AGTATATAAAACTAGAATATAATCATTATATTATATATTCTTTTATAGTTAAGTAATTAAGAAAACTGTTTTACAAAACGGATTAAATGTAGTATGTTTTATAAAATTAGTTAAATACCTTTAATTTTGTTTTTATATTATTTATTCAAGGGTATTTAAATAATTTTATAAGACAGACTATAAAACAGTTTTCAGTTAGTAATTTTTGTATAAATTGTAAATTAAAATGATATTTCTATAATTAATTAATTAAGCATTATAAATATATAATCAGCTATATGAGTTGGGTATATAAGTCAAGTATACAGGTCTAGTATATGAGTTAGATATATGAATTAGATATATAAGTTAGAATTAAATTTAACATGAATATCACTAGAATTAATTAGAAGATTAGAAGCATTCATAATCAGTATTTAAAATTCTTTAACCAAACATCTAAAAATAATAGAATATCAAGACTAGTTTTCTTATGTAGTTTTTAATATTTCTAAAATGATAATTCTTTAACGTTTAGTTAGGAGAATCAAAATATTATTTTAAAAATAAATTTAAAATTTAAGGTTTTAAGACTAAAGTCATAGATCAACTCTGAAAGGTAAGGTTGCAGGTGAATTATAAATTTAAAATTAATGTTAAAGTATACAATTAAAAAGGAAAAAAAATTAGAGAATGTAAGGATGTTTTATTTTTATTTTTTAATTAATTTAATGGAGTTATTATCTTGTAAAATAAGATAAAGAAAATTTAAAACACTATAAAAAAATTATATTATTTAATTAAGTTATATTGTAATTAGACAATTCGAACAGTTTGAAAGTAAAATTACAAATCAAACCAATTATATTATTTTTAAAATTTTATAATTTAAATTAATCCAATTTTATATTGATTTAGTTTTATTTTTTTTATTAAATTTGGTTAATTTATGTTAGATCAATCAAATTAGATCATATATAAACACTCCTATTGGCCATTATTGGAAAATAATTGACTGCATATTATTATACATTAAATTTTAATTTTAAGAGTTATAATCTTTTATGTATAAATATAATTTTTATTTTTATTTTATATGCAATAAAATACAAACTAGAAAGAGTACAAGCACATTTGTAATGTCCCATATCCATATGCAACAAGACACATGCAATGGACCACATATTTATGGAAAGCACATATACATTTCACATATGCAATGTCCCAATGGTGTCATCAAGGGAGGGATGATTCACTCTTTTTAATTTTTAATTTCTTTATTTTTTGTGATGTGAAAGGATGGTTCACTCCTGATATATGAGAAAAGAGATAAATAAAGATGTCAATTTAAAATTTTTTTTTATAAAAATGTTAACTTTGTTAATTTTAAAATAAAAATATCAATTTTTAATTTTTTTTATTTTAAAATATTAACTTTCAATTTTTTCTATTTAAGAATATCAACTTTTAACTTTTTCTATTTAAGAATTAATTGGATAATAATGTTAATATGACAAATAGATTTTTTAAGTAAAATATTGAAAGTTGGTATTTTTAAATAAAAAAAATTAAAAGTTAATATTTTTAAATAAAAAAATTGAAAATTGATATTTTTATTTTAAAACTAATCAAGTTAATATTCTTATTTACACCATTTATCCCTGATAACTTAAGCCAGTTTTAATATGGTAATTTAAATATAGGGTTTCTTTCTTATCTTTAGGAGATCAAACAAGATCTTTATTTAAATTAAAGAATCGAACAATGAGTTTAAAGAATAAGTTTTGTCCATATTAAACTTTTTAAATATTCTTTTATATAATTTGATTGATAAAAAAAAAAAAAAATAAAAAGATAATAAAGAAGCAATGGTTCCAAATTCAAATGACATTTAAAAAAAATTCCCCGACATCACATCCTTTGAGATACAACTACGAAAGCATGCGTTTTGATTGATATCATAGGAATTAAATTATATAATATTAACCAATAAGATTAAGTTTATAGTCACCCATCAAATAATCAATAGTTTATTTGAATTATTTGCATATCAATCTTAATTTATAAAAAAAAATTAGAATTTTAATATTAA